CCAGAGGGAAAAAGACACTTACCTCCAAAGGAGCAAACATTAAGTCAACTGACTTCTCAACAGTGAGAATGAAAAGCAGAAGACGTGATGTCCGGATCTGTAATCTGCTGACAGAAAGTATCTGCCAACCTTGAATTCTATACCCAACCAAAAATCCACTAGGAAGGAAGGCGAAAAAAAAAAAAAAGACATTTTCAGATAAACTGAGAGATTTCAGCAATAGAAGATCCAAGGTAAGAGAAATTCTAGGGTGTTTTCCAGGCAGAAGAAAATGATCCAAAATGGAAGGTCAGAGATACAGGCACGGATGAAGAGTAAATGAAAATGGTACATCTGGGAGTCAGTTTCAACAAGAGCTGACTGTTCAAAACAACAATGACTGTCTCTATATCTTTGGCAGTATGTGTATTTATGTAGAATTAAAGTAACGTGGCAATAATTCCCTCTAAAGTGAGAGAACCCCTTGGGGGGGACGGGTGGGAGGCCACCAAAGCACCCTCAGGAGTTGCCAGTCCACTCAGCCTGTTCCTCATGGCGCTGCATCACGTTTCCTTTTTCTGACCCAAGGCCTCACCCCCAATGAACTCCCACCTGGTTTTGGATTTAGGGCAGGTGCCTGCCCCCCAACTGGAGTGTACCCCGTTTGTGTGTGGGTGTGTTGGGTTCCCTCTTTTCCTGGGCAGAATCAGTCACAAGTGTGTTGCTAGGCTTTCATTTTTAGTTCTCCACTCAAACCTCTTTTACATGTTTTTCCCCTGAATAGTACATATTCATTGCTGAAGATTTGAAAAATACAGAAAAGCACCCAGATTAAATTTCCTGTAATTGCCCTGCACAGAGAGAGCCACTGTTTTAGACTTGGTGAGCAGGTCTCTTTCTATTTATGTATGTATCGTTTTTCTTTAAAAAGAGGGGGGATTGTGCTATACACAGTAGTGTAACCTGCTAATGCATTGCACACCTTTTTCCATGTCATGAATGCTCTTCTAAAACAGGATCTGAATAACTGCACAGTTTTGTCATACGGATATATCATGCTTCATTTAGCTAGTCTCCTTCTGTCCTTGTTTCCTTTTTTTTCTTTCGGTCCTAAATATTGCTGTAACCAGTGACCATCCCGACACACACGTGATTCTTTTCCGAGGATAAATTACTGGGAGTGCATTTGCCGTTCAGAGGCTACGTTCATTTTAAGGCTTTGGAGACAAGAAGCCAAATTGCTTTCCCAGCTGTGTAATCTTTGATTAGTCTGCGACTATGCCAGACTTTTCTCTGAATTAAAAAAATCCGCCTCCTGGACGGTCCCTTTCAATAGGCTTTCCTCTAAGACCTCTTGTCAGGGGTATAGTAAGTTCTCAGCAGACGAGTTTCTTCTTGCCTCAGCTAACACAGCCCGATCTGTTGTGGCCATATAAGGTCTCAGTGACTCATACCCTCTCTGGACTGGTCAGAATTTGGGTTTAGGAGCCCATAAACAGAATAATCCAAAGTAAAAGTGGCTTAAACAACATGGAATTATGGGGCTTCCCTGGTGGCGCAGCGGTTGAGAGTCCGCCTGCCGATGCAGGGGACGCGGGTTCGTGCCCTGGTCCGGGAGAGGACTGAGGGGAAATTTCAAAAGTGATTTCTAAGTAATGGCTGCTAGGGGCTGGAAGGAGGATGGGGCAGAGGTGACTGCTCATGGGAATGGGGTTTCTTTTTTGGGTGATGAAAATGTTCTGGAATTAGATAACCGTGATGGTTGTACAATCTTGTGAGTGTCCTAGAGGCCACAGGATTGTCCACTTTAAAAGGGTGAATTTTGGGTCTAGTGGTTAGGATTCGGCACTTTTACTGCTGTGGCCCAGGTTCAATCCCTGGTCAGGGAACTGAGATCCCACAAACCACATGGCGTGGCCAAAGGTGGGGGGAAAGAGGCGTCTTCTTTAGGACTTGCATGCTAAAAGGCTGAATTTTATGGTATATGAATTACATTGCTGGTGGGAATGTAAATGGTATGACTCCTCTGGAAATTTGGCAGTTCTTTTCAAAACTAAAAAAAAAAAAAAAAATGGAATTATGTTTCTCTCCTATAGATATTTGTCTGTGAGAAGTCCAGAGATGGTCTGGCCAGGCTGGAATGGCATCTCCATCCAGTCCTGCCAGCTCCATTGTCCTGGGATGTGGCTTTCACCCTCATGATCCACAATGACTGCCCAAGTGCCCACCACTATATGTCCATTCCAGGCAGCAGGAAGGAGATAGGTGTACCCCTTCCTTTTGAGGAGATTTTCTAGAAATAACACACGTCACTTCTGCTTACATCTTATCAGCCAGAACTTAGTCACATGGCTATAGCTATAGCTAAAAGCAAGCAGGGAAATGTGGTGGGAAAGTGCCTGGATAAGAGCTGAAGTCCTATGACGGAAGGTCAGAGTGGCTGTTGGGAGACAACTGTACGTAAGGTGATGCGCTGAATTGTGTCCCCTGAAAATTCACTTGTTGAATCCTAACCCCTAGCACCTCAGAATGTGACTGTATTTGGAGAAAGTGTCTTTAATGATGTAATTAAGATAAAATAAGGTCACGAGGGTGGGCCCTAATCAAATATGACCATTGTCCTTATAAGAAAAGAGGATTAGGACCCAGACGTGCATAGGAGGAGGAACATGCGAGGACACAGGGAGAAGACGGCCGTCTGCACACCAAGTAGAGAGGCCTCAGAAGGAACCAGCCTGCTCACACCTTGATCTGGGACTTCCAGCCTCCAGGACTGAGAAGATAAATTCTTGTTATTTGAGCCCCCCAGTCTGTAGGACTTTGTTAGTGCAGCCCTAGCGAACTAATACACTTACCTGTTGCTGTGTAACCAATAGCATGGTGGCTTAACAACACAGGATCTCACAGTTAATGCAGATCAGGAATCTGCGCACAGCTTAACTAGGTCCTTCACTCCCTGGTCTCTCAAAAGCCTGTGTTTAAGTACCACCTGCCTCTCGCTTGAAAGCTCAACTGGGCAGGGATCCACCTCCAAGCTCATGTGGTGTTGGCAGGATTCAGTTCTCCCTGGGCTGTTGGCCGAGTGGGCCTCCCAACATGGCAGCCTGGCTTCAAGAACGCGTGTGCAAGCCAAGCAGGTGCAGACAGCCAGCAGGACGGAAGGCTCAGTCTTTTGTAACTTAATCCCAGGAGTGCCACCTTTGCCTATTAGAATGTTAGAAGTGTCAGTGAAAATTCAATTAACAATCAAGTTAAGAAGAAAAAAGAGAATTTCATTCAAGCCAAAATGAGGATTATAAGCCAGAAGGCAGGCTCTCAGAAGCTCTGAGAGCTGTTCCGCCTGGTAGAAGTCCAAGACACAATCATATATACATATATATATATACATATATACATATATATATATATATTTGTGTGTGTGTGTGTGTGTGTGTGTGTGTGTGTGTGTGTGTGTGTGGTACGTGGGCCTCTCACTGTTGTGGCCTCTCCCGTTGCGGAGCACAGGCTCCGGACGCGCAGGCTCAGCGGCCATGGCTCACGGGCCCAGCCGCTGCGCGGCACGTGGGATCTTCCCGGACCGGGGCACGAACCCGCGTCCCCTGCATCGGCAGGCGGACTCTCAACCACTGTGCCACCAGGGAAGCCCAATCATATATATTTTTGAGACAAAGGCTCATACATCGAAGTGACATACTGACATTTTACAGAGAGCTCACCAAAGATACACAGTCCAGGTAAACTCTTACAAAGTGCGCAGTAAGTCAGTACGGCCCCCTCCAGAGCTGGGAAAGGATGCTAACCTTGTAAGAAGTTCCATCGCTAGGTCAGAAGTAAGGAAAAGAAAAGTTGATCTTTACCGTCCCGCAGGCGTTCCCCTCTTGGAGGAGGTCTGGTTAATGGGTAACGCAGATGCACACTGCACATTAGGGAGGGAGGGGGCCCAAACGACATAGAGAACTTTCTGTTTAACTTTTTTGTCTTGCTGTAAAATGTAAACCTTAATCAGAAGCCAGCCACCAGTGACAGCCCACTCTCAAGGGGAGGGGACTATACAAGGTGGTGAATCTCAGGAGGGGGTCACTAGGTCATCCGAGAAGTCTGCCAACCACAGTACCTGACAGCCTGGAGCCCCGTCACTGTGGCCTGTCCTGTGAGGGCTGGCACATGGCTTGGCCTGTGGACAAGGGCCTTTATTAAATCAGGGACTGGGACCTCAAGGCTTGCTGCAAGTTTCTCTGAGGTCCTTCCCCTGAAGGGGGGGGAGGTTGCTGTCCCCTTGGGGACAAGGCTTCCTGTGGCGATGCTGGGTTCACCTGCTTTGGTCTGAAATTAGGCGGAGACGTGGCTTGTGGCCTAGAACAGGTCGCTGTCCTGAGGGGGCTCTGGAGGCTTCATGCTGCTTGCCCCAGGCGGCTTCTCTGAGGGCCACCCACTCCCTGCGGGTAAGCGGACGCTGCCCCTCTGCTTGCTCACTGCCGCCCCTCGGGTGCTGAGGCTCTGGGGCCCGGGACCCTCCCACGCCGGCCGGCCTCGCTCAAGGGGGGCACACCCTTGGGCCGGGCAGTCATGGCGGCGGGGCAGTCTCTGGGGTCAAAGCTGCTTCTCGCTGCACCAGCCACGGCCTCTCCGGGCAGCAGGCACTGACCAGGCAGGTTTTTACCACCCGTCCCTGCCCCAGGCCCTCCGCCAAGCCCCTCAGCTCCTCCTCGGGCTGCAGAATGGCTCTCCAGGGCTCCGTTCCTCTCTGGGGGCCACACCTGGGCTCCCGCCCTGAGGGGTCCTCTGGCTCCGCGCGGGGCCACCCACTTCCCCCTTCCTCCTCTGCAAGGCTGTCCCGTGAGCCCTCCCTCCGCCCGGGCCGCTGGGTGAGCAACCACCCCCGCAGGGTCTCCGGCTCCGAGTCCACGGTCGACCCTCCCTGCCACCCTCCGGGCGTCGTCCGGGGTCTCCTCGACTAGGGTCTTCTTCCCGAGGGAGCATGACGCTCACGGCCGCCCCGCCCCTCCTCGCCGTGCCCCTAGTCCGCGCCCTGGAGGAGCGCTGGGGTCTCCGTGGTCGCGGCGGTCCTAGTAGGCGAGACGGCGGGCGCAGATGACTGGCTGGCGCCGCGCCCGGCCAATGGCGGAGGTCGCCGCCTCTGGCTGTCAATCTCGCCAGCCTGGCC